TAAACTCTCAAGTTTGACAACAGTGACATCTGCTGGTAAAAGTGAAGGTATCACAAATGTTACATAAGTAATGTTTCATATGTAGGTAGTTCTCTGCTATGTCTGTCTACACACAGAAAATTCCAAATCATGTGTAAAATGAAGTTTTACTCTAAGTGGTGCTTTTTTAAAAAAATGAACAAGGTTTGTAATTTTTCCTCAACCCTGCTGCTTTAAAGATTTTAGTTATAATCTTCACATCTCTTTCTCTAAAATAGCACCACTAAAAGACAATAAGGCTGTTCTGATTTATAGATTCAAGATTAACACTCCAGTCCTAAGCATATAGGATGACGACAATTCCACTGGTTTCAAAAGGAACTTATTGCCACATAAGAGTGCATAGAGATTTAGAAGATGGTATCAACCAAACTCTTTTGTTTAAACACTCACTTAGATATAGACAGGATACTAAGAGCATTTTGATATAACCATCTAGGTTTGCTTGCTGTTGCTTGTGTACCATATTCTATTGGGATGCGGGAGTGGTGGCAGAGGTGGGGGGAGACCAAACATCCCTGACTTTCCATTTAGATTGTGGCCTTTACAAGTTTTATATTACAAGAGTAACCTTACACATCACATAAGACATAAAATCCAGGAAAATTTATACTGGCAAATGGACTTTTAAATGCTTTCAAACAAGATTTTACTAAAAAGTACTCTTTGGGGTTTGGTAAATTTACAAAAAGATACTTAAATTCATGTATTTACTTATTCATGAAGAAGAATTCCAAATGCCACATTTACACGTCTGTTTTTAGCCCTTGTGCTCAACTGTGACAAGCTCTTGTATGGGTAAACATTAGTTCAATTATGCAATTTGCTATTTGCATGTCCACCTGGGGTGAGTAGAGGGTGCCCCCTGATGAACATTCATGTTTTAACCTGCACCGACAGAGGCCAGAGAGACAAATATCCTAACAAAGTACTACTGGTGAAGATTTTAGCATAACTCCTAAGAGGAATGCTCTCTTTGTAAGGATTTGTATGCAGAATGTCTTTCCAGTTCAGTTCCACTCACAGACTCACAGTCTTTTCTATCTGTGGGTCTTAAATCAGAGGGACAACACATCAGTTTAGCCTGTTCTCATCTGAATACCTTTTTAATGGGCCTCAAGGTGTGAAGCATAATTTATTCTGAAAGCGCACACCAAGACATATGATCATCAAATGAAGTTGGTAGATAACTACCCATCCTAAATGGCTATTATAAAACAGTGAAATTTATTTGCCATCTATTCAGCAGCTTTTGATTCAGACAAATTAATTCCTAATTTTTGTGCTAGAGAAGCTGCTTGAAAATATGTCATCCAGAAAGAATTTAAAACCATCAGTGGGATACCAACGTTTTATGAGGAAGCCATGGTAACTTATAGGTTCTACAATGAATGAGTCACAAATCACATTTTTCAGAGGGAGCATTTCCTATCACTCAGTACAAATTACACATTTTCACTTGAATCTGACTTGCTTATCCTCCCTCAAGCATATAAATACAAGTACACTAAGAATAGCATTTAATGTGTTGCACTTTAATTTTGAGAGCTTCAAACATTCTGCTTTTACGTATACTTTTCTACATTAACAGCCTCTCTTAAAACTGGGCTTTTAAAAATCCATTATTTCTGCATCTCTTCGGGATCCCTGGAGATGCTGCTATCATACCATCTATATTGAATCTTGGTAGAACATATGGAACCAGGGTTGCTATCTGGAAACAGAACTTATCTATTTCTTTCTTTGTTAACTAGCTTAGCTGTCCTGATACTATGTTTCCTATTGCCTCATCAATAACTGTCCTTATGGAAAATGGGTACCTATCCTTAACACAGCCCTTCAGAATGCTGATGTACAGGAATAGACAGATTCTAAACAAAGCACTGAGAGGGCCAGGAAAACTGGTTATATAGACCAACCTATGTCTGTGTGAGTCAAAAGTTATTTAGCTCCTTTCCTTGCAATAGTGAATTTGGCAGAGGCCTCCTCTTAAGCACCTCAGATGGCGCCTAGACTACCGTTTGCTCCACTTTGATCTTCCATATTGAATCTTTTATTGCAGAAAAATGAGTGCAGAAACTGGTAAAAATGCAGTGATAAAATTAGAGCTGGGGTTCCCCAATACTGAATAAGATGTAAGGCCCACCCACAGGCAAAGGTGAGTCCAGTAGGAGGCGTCATCCTTATCAGGTATGTCTCCTAGCAGCATCTGGCAAACTGCTAAACTAGAAGCCATTCTGACAACTTTGCCCCAAAGCAGGTTAGTAGCACTGGTTTCTTCAGTAAAGGTTGGAAAGCTGCCTTTTTAAGGCAAAGTGAGGCAGCCATTCCCATCCTTCCCACCCTCCTGAACCAATGTCCCAATGGTAGCAAAGCTTGTTTATTGTTGGCCTTGATGCCTGCGCTGCACCCCTTAGCTACCCCTGCTGCCAGACAGTGGTTGCCAGAGCAAGGCAGCAATATGCCGCTAGCCTCCCAACACTGCTTTTCCCCCAAATGCTGTAGGGGTGGGGCAGCAGCAAGGTACCCCAGAACAGCTGTAGAAACGAAGTCGGTCCAGTGTTCCCACCATGGTAAGTTGTAATGAAGCTACAGCTGGAGGCCAGCTCCACAGTGCTGCCCACTTAAGTCTTCAGGTACAGTGGATAATCTATGTGGATTCAATAATCAACATAATAATAATCTATGTTGAAGCAAGGCTCAACTACCAGTAACAGCGACTTTTGTATGTGGAATTGTGGGCTGGAAGTCAACCTCAATCAGTAAAGATTCTGATTTCATCTGTAGGCATTTTGCTATCTGCGCTAACTTACACAATTAGTTGTCTGCATTCCCCAAGCATCTTCTTTACATGAGTGGGTTACAAGTAAAAAACCATCCAAGGAACTAAACCAAGACCATCACTCCCAACCCTACATTCTGTCTATAAGCTGGGTCTAAATAACCCCAGCAAGCTGTAAGAAATTGTGTATCTGAACAGGAAACAAATGCATCACAAAATGCTCATTTCAGCTGAAACCTACCAAGCATAATTTTGCTATAGCGGCAGCAAAATAGGAATAAAAAGTAGTAACTGAAAGTATCACCATAATGGCAACATTTTTAAAAATGTTTCATTTGTAATTTAAAAGTAGTAAATGTGATCGGTCCTAGCTCAAGCCAAGTATTATTCCAGTCTTCTGCCATATCACTTGAACTGCATCAGCTTCCTTGTACAGCAGCAGTCTGTAGTGCCACAGCGGGGGCAGAGGACACCCAAGTGCTGTTGTATTCATTGCCAAGATCAGCATTCTGCTCTGCCATCAGCAGAGCAATCATCTGTGTCAGTGGGCATGCAACTGGAATTGAGTTTATTCAAAGAGATATAAAAGGCCAGAGATCTAAGCCAGCAAAAGGTAATAACACAATGGTGGCATCTTTGACACTCCTGTCACAGCACCTCATTCCAGGCCAGCACAAATAATAATTCCAACATGATCCTGCCATGTAGAATTGGCGGGTTAGAACCAAAGCCGGCCCAGTTCCACAGGTATGATGATATCATACAAATATTAAGTCTCAAACTTTTCAGCACCACTTCAGAAGCAACACAAGAAGATTAGGCTTCTCAGCATCAAGGTGTCTGGTACATTTTTCAGTCTCGAACTCTAAGGGACACATTCCATGGTGAAGCCAAACATGAAGATAGCAATAAAATCAAAGATCAGTCAAAACAGGTACTTTGCTATATTTCACTTCACATTTTCTTTCTGGTTGTTTCAACAGCAATTCTTTTCTTATTTCCAATACATACACACTTTCTGCTCCTAAAATTACAGGATCGTCTTTCTAAATGTTTTTAATTCAAAAGAACAGTGAATTTCCATAATACCCGTACAAACTCATAATCTCATGGTTGTGGGTTCAAGCCCCACATTGGACAATAGATTCCTGCATTGCAGAGAGTTGGACTAGATGACCCTTGTGGTGCCTCTACAATTCTATGATTCTATGAAACTGCTCTAAATCTAACAGACTAGGTATGGAGAAAGAGGGGTGCTTTCTGTGAAGCAGTCAGGTTCCGAGATTGCTCCTTGTTTACCATCTGCTGTGAGAATCATGTGATTGGAAAGGACCTCAAAGATCATCTAGCCCAGGGATGGGAAACTTTCAGCCCTCCAGAAGTTTTTGAACTCCCAACTTCAATTGGCCAGTCAACATGGCCAATGATCAACCACGATGGATTCCTCACCTCTGATTTACCCCCAACTCCATGCCAATGAGGAAATCTGCTACTGGAGCATCCCCAATAGGTAGCAGGGTCAGACTAAGGCATTTTGGCACCTGAGATGGACCACAAAATGGTGTCCACCCCTCTGGCCAAGGAAGAAGGAAATAATGAAGATATCGGGAACAAGCAGGAGGGATCAAATCAACCTTACCCAATGGCTGAACTGAGAATCAAAGGTGGGTGCAGGTCCCAAGAGACCTTGCCATTTCCCCCATAGGGATGGGAGGAGACCAGCAGTGCCTCCTATTCACTGAGAGGCCGCTGTGGAGGCATCGTTGGGGGTGGGGTTGCTCAGGAGAAGACAGATCTGGCCTCCAAGTAGTGTGCTGCAGTTGCTGCAAGAACTATTACCAAGAAGCAGAAGGTAAGGACATAGGTATGTATTACCTGCTATAATATGTTATACACGGCGGCAGCAGTGGGCGATGCATTTCTCAGAGGCTGAATCTGCACTCCCTGTGGATCCTGCTACTTAAGGTGGTCACTGTAGCTTGCCTCATGGACAGGCCAGCCCCAAGAGGTAGCCATCCAGCCTCTGATTAGAAACCTCTGTTAGACAAGTCCACCACCTTCCAAGGCAAACAGTTCTACTGTCAAGAAGCTTGCAATGTCAGAACACTTTTTCCTAATATGTAGTCTAAATCCTCTTTCCTGTAATTTGAACCCATAGGATCAGGTCCTACCTTCTGGAACAACAGAAATGAATTACTCCATTATCTATGTGACAGCTCTCAAATATGACTATCATATGAAGATGACTAAAATTTTACCTCTTGAGCTTGTATGGAGGTTCTAGCAGGGGAGCGCAGCTATCGTATACCCTTGACCGAAGAACGGTACACTCCTTCTATCTGGGATGGTCGTCCTCTTCCACCGAGCGCGCAGCTTCGGGAGGGACGCACATGGAGCGGTGAGGGAGGAAGGGGACACCCGCCTAGCCAGCCAGATCAGCCGAATCAACCCTGGCGATCAATGGGGTGACAGATGTCGCAGCCAGATCGCCCTCACATCCTAAAATTTTACCTCTTAATTCTCTTTTCTCCATGCTAAACATACCCAATTAGCAAGGAGTTGTGCTGCCATAGATGTGATGGCTATGGGAAAAGGCAAGACTTTATGCAGAGCAATTAAGCAGTGCCTCCACTGCCAAACATGCTCCCATATTCAAACCTACCAATAAAACCAAAATACCTAGAGGTTTGCTTTACAGACCAAACAAAAGCTGAACTTCTCAGGATGCTGATAATTCTGCACCTTATACAAAATTCTGCAATTGTATTGTTCATGGCAAAGAATACAACATGGTATACTATATTAAACATGTCACACATCTTTGCACCAAGAAGCAGAAGGTAAGGACAAAGGTATGTATTACCTGCTATAATATGTTATAGAGTATGGACTATGTTTTAATGTCAGCCAAAGCAATTCAATTTTCAGAGGATTCTGAAGAAGTCTGTAAAAAATAACTGATCTATCACAGGAGATGGAACAGAAAACACATGAAGAGGTTCCAGTTCATGAGGACAATGTATGAGGTCTGAACATCGGATTCAGCTACGTTCTGAATTGAATCAGGCTGAATTGGTTAATTTCTGCCCTGCCGCCATCAGGTTGAAGCAGCTACAAATCAAAACAGATAAAGTTGTCCCAAATCAATCTGTAGCAATTTGTGCTGATCTGTAGCTCAGAAAGTCAAGCATACCAGCTTCAAACTGCTGCAATTATTAATTACAACGCCCTATAAGGAATATGCCAAGGTGTGGAGAGGGGGAGAATGATCTCACACCACCCAACACTCTCCAATCACAGGACTTTGCCTAATAGGAGCTGCAGGGCTAGTCTAGAATGCTATCATTCTATCCAACACTCTCCAAGTTCTATCTTTCCAGAAGTGTATGGTGGAGTGAGATGGCGTTTGTTTTCTGTTCTTTCCCAATAAATCCCAGCTCCATCCTTAAAAACAAAAAAGTCTGTCTTAGTATCCCACCCCCTCCAAAATTTGGCTCTAGTTTTTAGGTAAGGTTTATTTACAGCTGTATTCAGTTTTCTGTGTCTATCTTTATTAGTACTTAGCCTTGTGTGTCTATTGTGAATACATAACACAGTCTAGTACTTTATTATTATAGTAGTCAGCCGTACCCTTGAGTTTTTCTGATTGTTGTTGTTGTTGTACTTTCCAACTGCTAAGCAATTTAACAGCCTAGTTGTGGGGTAGCTCTTTGCTAAGAAATTATTATTATTTGGCCACCCACACCTTGTGGGCATATTAACCAAGCTTTTGACTTCAGTATCATCGTCACTATTATTATTTCCCATTACCAATCACAGTGAATATTATTAAATATTTCTATTCTCCACCCCCTCATTCACTCCTGCTGCTGGAAATCTACCCCACTACATGAGATGGTCTGTTCTGTGACTCCAATGAACATTAGTTTTCCCTCATTGCTAAATATCTACCTCTCAAATGACTTCTGTACTTGTATCATTTCACTATCGTTTATGCATATCTTTATCCTGATGCTGCTTGCCTGTGCCTAGTATTCAAGCCTTTTATATTATAATTAAAAAACCCTCAAACATTTTCAAAATTTTGATGGAAGTCCCAGGGCAGACCCTGTTTTTTTTTAATCTATTTTTGAAAAAAAGCTAATTTTAAAGCTATCTAGTCCTAGAACTACCCATCTGAACTTTGGCAGGGATTATCCTATCTGTAGGAGCTACCATGTCTCCAACATTCAGACACCTATGTGAATATATACATATATTTTTATATAGCCATTTGGTTTCATGACACTAGTCAAAAAGATTTCCAGATCGCAATCTGGATTCCAAACGGGGCTGGAACGGGACCAAATCAGGCCAGACTGGATTTACACCTCAGGGCCACAAATTGGATTGGGGGATCCATGACCAGCCCTGCAACCTATGCATGGTCAGAAGACTTCTCTTTTACAGAGATGCCCCCAATGTGGAAAATGGGGGAGCAATAGAGGAGGTAGAGGTGAGACCAGTGCATTCAGCTCCATTCTCTATCCATGTTACATTAATACATGGATTATATAATTAAACTGTATTAATTTGGAATTAATTGGTATTTGTATAAACTGTATAGTTGGGTTAATATTGGGAAACTAATAAAAATTATTTGGAAAAAAAGGATTACAGTGGTACCTCGGGTTACGTACGCTTCAGGTTACAGACTCTGCTAACCCAGAAATAGTACCTCGGGTTAAGAACTTTGCTTCAGGATGAGAACAGAAATCGTGCTCTGGCGGCGCAGCGGCAGAGGGAGGCCCCATTAGCTAAAGTGGTGCTTCAGCTTAAGAACAGTTTCAGGTTAAGAACGGACCTCCGGAACGAATTAAGTACTTAACCCGAGGTACCACTGTATAGACAAAAGAATACAGTGGTGCCCCGCAAGACGAATGCCTCGCAAGACGGAAAACTCGCTAGACAAAAGGGTTTTCCGTTTTTTGAGCTGCTTCGCAAGACGAATTTCCCTATGGGCTTGCTTCGCAAGACAAAAACGTCTTGCAAGTTTGTTTCCTTTTTCTTAACACCATTAATACAGTTGCGACTTGACTTCGAGGAGCAACTCATAGAACGCAGTGTACATAGTAGCCTTTTTTGAGGTTTTTAAAGACTTTGGTGATTTTTGAAGCTTTTCCAAAACTTCTTTTGCAGCCATTTGGTAAGTTAAGCTTTTAAAACTTTTTTGGGGGGTTTTGGATTTTGGGTTGGGGTGTTTGGAATTCAAGGACTTGGTGTTGGGGAGGGGTTTGCAAGAATCTGGAAGCTTGTGGTTTTTTTCCTGATTTTTATGATTTTCTGTGACCATTGGGCCACTCTGCTGTTTTTTTTTAAAAAATCTGGATTTGAATTTCTGTGTGGTGGGTGGCTGGGGGAACAGTTGGGGAGGGGTTTGCAAGAATCTGGAAGCTTGTTTTTTTTTCTGCATTTTTACGATTTTCTGTGACCATTGGGCAACTCTACTGTTTTTTAAAAGAAATTCTGGGTTTGAATTTTGAAATGCTCTTTACAGTATGTGTGACTTTAAAGAGCACTTAATAAACTCTTGTTGTACCAAATTTGGCTTTGTTTGGACTTTTTTTGACCATAGGAATGCATTAATTGATTTTCAATTAACAATTCCTATGGGAAACCGTGCTTCGCAAGACGAAAAATTCACTAGACGAAAAAAATCGCGGAACGAATTAATTTCGTCTTGCGAGGCACCACTGTACTCAAATACTGTTATAGCCTGCAGCTCATCTACTAAATACCGTATTTTTCGCCCTATAGGACGCACTTTTCCCCCTCCAAAAATGAAGGGGAAATGTGTGTGCGTCCTATGGAGCGAATGCAGGCTTTCGCTGAAGCCTGGAGAGCGAGAGGCATCGGTGCGCACCGACCCCTCTTGCTCTCCAGGCTTCAGGAAGCTATCCGCAAGCCTTGCGAGCCTGGGGGAGTTCCCATGGGCTCGCAAGGCTTGCGGGCAGCAGCCTGCAGCCCGGAGCACGGGGCGCCCTCCGGAGGACGCCCCGTGCTTCGGGAAGGTGTCCGCAAGCCTCCTGCGCCCGGCGGGAGGTCCCGCCGGGCGCGCGAGGCTTGGGGCGGCAGCCTGTTCTTCGGGCTTCCCCCTCCCCCAGCCCCGCAAGCTCCCAGAGCGATGCCAAAGCTGCACGCAGCTTCGGCATGGCTCTGGGTCCCATTCTGGGGGAGGGGGAAGCTCGGGCTTCCCCCGCCCCAGCCCCACGCCTGGGGGGGGAATAAATTTTTTTTTCATTTAATCCCCCCCCCCCAATCTAGGTGCGTCCTATGGGCCGGTGCATCCTATAGGGCGAAAAATACGGTAGATAACACGTATTGTTTCATGATGCTTCTGCCCTTTAAAAACTTCAAAATAATGTTTCTAAATAACTCAGTAGTGTTAAGTTATAACAAGAGCTAAGGAAAGGGAGAAAGAAAAATTTAGAAGATGGAGAAGAAGCGGAAAGGCAGGGAATAGACAGGAAACCATGGTAGGAGGGGGAGGGAAGTATATGAAAGGATGTATTCTTATTATTTCTTTTTGAATATAATAGTTTACGTATTAATGCTGAATTGCAACAGAAAAGCAAATAAAAAATATTTACAGAAAAAAATGTTTTTAGATAGAAACATCTTCATATGTGTGTTACCTTTTTTTCTTAACATCAAAGAAGAATCTGTTAGGTTTGTTAATGCCCTTAGTTCTTGCATGTTAGAACATGGTCCAGAACCATAAAATGTTTCCTTTGGCTGACTAATAAGGCCAGCATTCTCTGCTGGTTAGTACACTTTTCTTTTTTAAAAAAAACACACACAAGAAAACAGACATTCTAGTGCTCAATACTGAAAACTTGGAATGATACAGTATCAGGAGAGCTCTTCATTAATTCAGCTGAAGCCTAACAGAATTTTATGTCTGCAGGGCCATCATACATTAATGACATATATGGGAAGCAGCATTTAAATTATTCAGCAACACTAGGAATGCAGATCCAGCAGTTTTTAGATTTCTCAACTGCTGTATAAAAAAGCCCCTACCCTCTCTCGCTTGCTCATTCTCTCTCTCTCTCCCTCTCACACATACAATTCTGCAATCAATGAGTTGATGAAAACCAGAAGCACTCCTTTCAATTTGTTGCACACATAACAATGAACCCTTCTGTTTTTCTTGCAGATGTAGCCACTCTTTTACATGACCAGAGAAGCCTTCAAATTTATGTTCGCTAAATCTTCCAGGGCAATTCCAGCTATTATAAACATATAAACAAGTGGCTTCCTCTAAAAACACCAAAGAGACTAGAATCAGGCATAGAGCAAACAGAATCCATATGTCTGTGTTTACAGACTAACAACAACGGTGCCAGTGTGCAGAGCTGGCTTATTCTATTTGTTGTTTTAGTTGGCAGCTCTTGCTTGAGCACCCGTTGCCATGGCAACTCTGTGCACAACTCACAATGCACCCAAACGAACTCGGAG